ATATGTTTGCAGTTTATGATGAACTGTAAGAGATATTGTAGCTAAAGTCCGAGATAATAAATTTCAAAACTATAAAAGATTTGAATTAAATTATATATATTTACAAATAATATAAATTCTAAGAAAAATTATAGATTACAGCAAATATTTCACATAGTTTGACGAAAGTATACATTTCAATAGAATAAAATAACATTTACGGCAAATAACTCTAGAACTATCTGCTCATTTGATCCAAATACTTTTTTTCAGTGTAGTTTTGACAAAAAACTGTTTTTTCGAAAAATGAATCAATAAATCGTATAGCAATGCGTTTAAAAAAGGCATGACGATTCACTTCATGCGAAGAAAAAAGTCGCATCAAAACTGAATATTTCAGAATATTTTGAAGTAAAAAAAATTTTTTCAAAATTTCGAAATTTTTATTTTAAATTTCAACATTTGGACATTTCAAATGTTCCATGTGAAATGGTAAAAAAAGTAACAACAAAATTTTTTTTTTTCAATTTTCAAAATTTTTAATTTTCTTTTTCGTCATTTGATGAATATTTAACGAGAAAATGTGAGAAAAATAAATTTTTTCATCTTAATCATCATTAATTGATGTTTAAGGAGCAATAAACATACTCTTAATTTTTTCATAAAACCTTAACAATTCAGGATAGGAAAACGGTTCCACCGATCGATTTCAAAATTTACAGGCCTCATGGGCATGTATTGAGCTAAAAAAAAACCTACAAACATTGGTACTTTCCGCAATATTTGAAAAGTAGTCGTCGATTTTCCAAAACAGCAGAAAAAGTCATTTTTGCACTGTTTCAGATTAACGCTGAGTAAAAAAAAATGTTTCCCTTAAACATAACAAAAATCCCATTAAAGAACATTAATTCAGGTTTCAGGATCAATAAAAAAAGGTGACTTTTCATTCAATAGACGATATCTCAATGAGAAATAATCGTATAGAAAATTAAAAAAATTGAATCTGAGGGATCAGGCTAAATGACCTTGGCATTGATTAAGACAGAAAATTTTTTTCTGACCCATGTGCAGTTTTGAAAAAAAAAACGTAAAATTTTTGCTTTGCCTCGCACCTAGACTGATGCTCAAAAAAATTTTTCATCCCCAGAAACTTTCAAAACTAGAATCTTCAAGCTTCAAGGCGCTTCTTTCTTTTTCGAGACGACCATTTTTCACGAAGTTGCAACCTTTCAAAGAACACTCAAAAAAATGGGAAATTTTTTTGCAGCCTCAATTTTTTTGCCTAGATTTAAAAAAATTTAATTTTCGGTACACTTACACTGTCATATGCCTCCTGGCAGCTGGTATGGTCTCGTCCGGTTCCTTGAGGATGTACAGCCTGGTGCAGTGTACGCAATTCGTGAAATACTCGAAGTAGTCCATTCCGTCCCCATCCACCTTGTACACAGCCCTCTCTCTGGGATTCAAAAGCTCCCTCGCGTCCAGAGAATCGTCGTTGACGAAGTCCCATTGGTTGTTCGCGTAGTACTCGAACACCTCGAACCCCTTGGATATCCTCTTCTGAACCCGGAGCAACCTGAAACACCCCTTCCTCAACTTCCTTCATATTCGGAAAAAGAACAACACTTACACTGGCTTATATCCCAGTACAAGCAGCAAGGCGTCGACTATTATAGCCGGGACTATGTGGAAGAGGTAGAAGCAGACGTTGTGGACCAACCGGGACTTCTTCATGGAGCCCCCCGGGTACCAGGCCACCCCGTTGAGGGGCATCTTGGTGTTGATGACCTCCCTGCCTATTTCGATGATCTCCGACCAAGACAGTTTGTACTGCGACGAGCTGGTCAGGTTGTAGATCCTCCTCACTCTGGAAAAATGGCGATAGAACATAAAAATGTGTTAAGAAGAATTCAAGTATGTCATATGCTGCGAAAATCAGGTTAAAAGAAATAAACTTTCGTTTATGCGGGGGTCTACGAGTAATATACACACCACTAAATTTATTTTGAAGGAACAGTAAGTATTCGTTATGCAACAAATCAAGTTATTTTAAGTGTCTAATTTAAATAATAAATTTTAATTTAAAACTACCTACTGTAATCTCGAATGTAATACTAAAGAACATAACGTTATTTTAAAGTAAAAAGTTTCTAAAGAATATTTTCAAAGTAGTTCCCATTTTTCT